GGGTATCAGGGGCTGCTTGTCCAGCTGAGCAATTGCTGCAGGCACACTCTGGGGGGGACGAGGCCATTGGTCACCACCAGCTTGACTACTTGTCCCATTTGAAGGCCAAAGGGAATGGGAAGGAACCATCTTGGAGGGTCACTCAGCACCCCACTGTGCTTACTCTGGGGAAAACCATTACAGATGGGATTAGAACCATTAAGGCTTTTTAAGTGGAGATGATTAATGTGGGTTAAAGAGAAGGGATCCCCTACATTTATTAAGGACACCAGGAACTCCCTGAGATGAAATATTACAGTCCTTACATCCCTCTGTGGGTCCACAGTGAGAAGAGCTCACTGCTGTGGAAGGGTTTACTTTCCCTGGTAGTGATGAGGGCAGAGGGGACCCCACCAGTTGTTGTAGTCACCACTACCCTTCAGATACCTCCCTGGACCACCACTGAGGTGATCAAGCACCAGGTCTGTCTGGCAGGAAGTTTTTAATTGGGAGTGTTTGGCAGGCTCTTCTCCAGGAGTTCCTGGTCTCCTCCTTGGTGGACATGAAGTTTCCTTTTAGGTGGAGGACAGACTTGCTCACAAATTGCTCTTACAAGAGCCACATCCCATCCTGAGAGCCCTGCTGTGGTATGCCTCATGGAGTGGAGCCTAACACCAGGCTCTACACTTGATTTGTGCCAAATCCCCTCTTGGAAAACACAAGCTGTTTCCTTTCTCTCCCTGCAACCTGCACTTGTTATTATTAAACACCCTCTCGGTATCACACAGGGCCAAACAATCAGCGAGGAGCCCGGCACCTGCAGGCATCCCGAGGTCAGGCACACAGGCAGCTGCCAGGTGCATCTCCTGGCCCCACGGAGGAAAGGGCTGGGGAGCACTGGAGCCAGCACTGGAAACAGAGGCTGAAGCTCATTCTCAAAGTGCCTGTCAGCAGGAGGCAGCCTAGGGTTGTCTAGTAGGGCTTTTCTCCAGCCAAAAAAAAATGCAAAGGTGCTTTATGTAAACTAAAGGGAGTTTTCCAAAGCAGTGCTCATCTGTGTACACTTCCAAGCACTCAAAATAACATCACAGTCCATGAGAAATTGTGGAATGGTGACGATTGTCTTTTACTGATGTCACTAAATCCGGTCGAAGCCCCTGCCTGCATTTTCTTGTGTCTGCCCTAGCTCACCAAAATCTGAACTCTGACAACACTTTAATTCAGGCCTTTTCCAGCTGCAGTTTCCTCTCACAGGGGAGTTGGAAGCTTCATCAGGACAAACCGGGTTGGAAACACAGAGCTTGGGCTCGACCAATGCTGAGCAAAATGTAGCTGGCCCAGCAGTGTTGGAGAGAGGCAGGATGGAGAACAGACCTCCAAGCTTGCCTCCAAGCTATGTCCTCCCTGGAGCATGTTAGCTCCCAGGCACCCAGCCAAAGCCTGACTGTAAGGCCAAGCTCTACGTGGATGAGTTATTTGCCAGGTAAAGTTGATGGGAACCTGAATCAGTGAAAAACTCTGCTGGCTGGGGATCGTTCTGCAGGAGCAGATCCCTGGAGAACATCTCCTTGAGCCAAGGCCTGTCCTTCCATGTGAGGTGCCTAGGCTTTTGCAGGCAGCATAAAGTGATAAAGAAAAATTAGATCTGGCTGGCAAAAAACGTTCCCATGGGAAATTTTGACTTTTTGTCAGAAACTCCAGCACATTTCTTTTTCAGCTCCAAATAAGCATGAATAGGAACAAAGATTCTGTTTTGGCAGGGGAAACAGGCTTACCAAAGAAAACACCCAAATTTTTAAGTAAAGCAGACACATTCTGTCATTTTGAAATGACAAAATGAGAAACAAAAATCAATTTTCCAAGGGGGAAAAAAAAAAAAAAGAGCAAATTCAGTGAAAAAGCAATAATCAGTTTTCATGCCACTGCCTAGGGCTAATTCAGGTAATTTGGCTAATTCAGATAATTTGGTTAATTCACCTGCCCCCTCACCACTGCTGCTCTGGAGAGTCTGGACTGGCTTCCATCTCAAGTGGTTGAAGGTCCTTCCAGTTTGCAGCTGATGAGATTCCCATCAACTCCCTGCTCATCCCCTGCCTCTGCCCAGCCAAGGCTGGTCTGCAGCCCTTGGGTGACCCCAGAGCCTGACTTTCTCTCTGGATTTCAGAGAGAAACCAAGGTGGGCCAATGGTCATGAGCAAGTGGGTGAAAGCTGAATAGGAATATTGTGATCTTTATCTAGGAAGATTGTTCCAGGCAGTGTGGGCTTGGCTGGGCAATGCAATTGTTTGCCCGTGGTTGGTTTTGCAGACTGGTAGGTATAGCCCCAGGGAATGTGCAGCAGAAACGGCTGGGGAGAAGTATTTTATGGTAGCTTCATCCTTGCAAAACATTGACTGTGCAGCACACATGGGCTGGGGGAAATTATTTTACCATAGCTTTGTCCTTCCAAAACCTTTGATTCCCAGCAAGTCAGCGGGAAAGAAAAAAATGGTGCGATTTTCGTTTGCAGGAGAATGAGGCAGCTGGGACTGCGTGGTCTGAAATGTGAAGCCTGGCACAGAGGTCGCACATTTTACTGGAAACTGAGAACTTGTTTCCTTTTTTGTTGGAAGTAAATTGGAAGACAGAAGGACAGTTAGTGCACGGAGCCAGAGTAATAACCGAAGAAGCATTTTCAGGAGCGTTTCAGGACCCTACAAAGGTCCAAGAGCTCTCCGAGATCTCACTGCGTTCTCTGGCATCACCGGCAGCCGTAACTCTCGGCATGCAGGGAACTGGTCTCTGCCTGTGAGACAGGACTGAGGCCTGGGGGAGCTGAATCCTCCCTGCTCCCCTGGACCTGCTGCTGAGGAAGAGGCAGCGCCGGGCGCGTCCTAGGGCTGGAGTAGGAAATTATCAGCACGTGGAGCCCCATCCCCGAGCGCTGCCGGGTAGCGGGACCCCGCCGGGAAAGAAGAAATAGAAACCTGGAGATACACCCCCACGGGCTGTTGGCACATCCGAAAGGCACCCACAGACTTCACTTCCGGGAAACGGCATTTCCCACGGCATTTCCCCGCCGCTTCCCACCACCCGCTGCCGCTGCCCCGGGGCCGCCCCGACCTGCGCCGCATCGGAGGCTGCGGGGGGGGAACGAGCGA